GTATTGGAAGACCGGCGCATTTAAAATCGCTGAATCTGCAATCTACGTTAAAGTGTCCCGTTTTCTGGGTTGCACAGAACCGGGATCAATAATGGTCTGTCTTGATAAGGACTGCACTAGGCAGGGGCGTTTCAGAGAGAAGCGGACTTCGCACAAGCCTGTGCCTTCGTTCTTCCTTTGTTACGCTCCAAGTTACGCGGACGTTGTCGCCGTTTGTGATGCCGATATCGATTCTTGCTACACACCATGTGCACAGCTAGAGACGTTAACGGCCAAACAATATCCTTTCAGTCTCTCGCGACTATCTCGCAGGAGTCATCGACTTCTGCAAATTTCCTCGGTATCCGTATGCTAAGTACCTGTCGGTGCTTTTTTTCCCTCTCTTGCCGCAAGCGTGAACGATGACTTCTGCGGCTCGAGAGTCTCACGTAAGACGTTAGTCACGCTCGCAAGGCTGATACATCGATCGAACGGTTCGTCCCAGTTTCGCAAAGATCGGATCATGTGATGGTCGTTTCTGTGTATGCACATCCGCCAGGATGCCGCTCGCGCTTTCTTCTGTCATCAGTTCTAATGTAACGGAGAAAGTCCCATGTCGTAATATCGCCGTCTAATCGCATGGATGCCTCCTTTTAGGTTCCTGGTTTAGTAGGTGGCAGGCGCCCGGATTGCCCGGTGCATTTATTATCGCGAACGCGCCTCGTTACCGCCGGGGACCGGGGGAGATTATGCCGAATACTCCGCAATCAGTAAAGCCGCGTTTATCGTGGACCAATAACCTATAGCTCGAGGAAGAGTCGCGCTCAGATGATATATAGGGTCATAGTTCGATCACGGTAATAACTAATTTACATGAACAAGCTAGCTTAAGTCAAGCTTCAGTCAGACTCATCGTGAAATCCGTAGTTCACGCTAGGTCATTGGAATGGAGTTCGCTGTTTAAGAGAAGGCGGAAGCAATTTTTTTTCCAGATGTTGTAATGAGCGAGAGCCCATTTACTGTTTCCAGTGACAATTCACTGATTGACTTTTAGAGAGAATATTTATAGAATTATATTTTTCTTCTTCTTCCTCGTGTTAGGCTTAAAGCCTGTTTTATCCAGTTCTCGTTCTGGTACTTTGAGCATTTGGTTTTACTTCATCTTCGGTGGGCTGCTAAACCTTGCCGAAGGAAATCTCCTATCTGGAGGGCTATATCCCTAAAGGGGTATAGTGTGGCAAGATACTTTCGGTGGGGCCCACTTCCCTTCGGGAGATTTCTAAAAAGAACCAGCCGGTGTCCGTGGATTTCAACTCTGATCTTTTTGTTCATTTGGTTACTAAGCAGCGCACGTTTCTCTGCGCCACACTCGCCACCAATTATAATATATTTTTCTTCGACTGAAATTTCTTATCAGTCAAATAGACACATCGCGATTAATATATTTAATATGCTCTCTCTCATTAGCTGTGTTACTTTGGATTTAATCGTTCATAGATGCTACAGTTTCCTTGCTTCTTTATCAAGTCCCTCGTTCGCTTCCATTAGGGAGGTCGCGACCCATTGGGAAACGCCATTAAAGTGTGAATCAAGCCGATTCGGGCCGCGCGGCGAGTGACTGACCGAAAGGTATAAGTAACGTTTGCCCAATCCGTTATTATTCATCCGACGGACGAAATCGTCTTCCGACTTCTCTTCACGATTCGAATCGACCGGTTCGCAATGCGGACCAAACCCATCGGTCGCTCGACGAATGTCGCGTCACATGCCGCGTCGTACTATTCGCGGAGGCCAAATTGCACGCTTCGACAATGCGTCTAGTGCGAACAGTGCGCCGCGATCGACCCTGACAATGACGGTTACTGACCCCGCGAACCGGTTGCGCGTCGTGCCTCGCATCGCGCGACGTTTGGAGCTGCACGCACCGATTGAAACCCGTTTGCCTTTCCGATCGCGCTTCATCATAGCGTTGCCAGCCGTCGTCGTAAATGCATTCTGACTGGGGACACCCACGGAGATTGCTCTATTGTGATCGCACGTGCCAGTTTCAGCACTTGTACTGGATTGATGCCGCGGTCACTTGCACCGCTCGCAAGTTTCGTCAAGTACGGACTGTCGCTACAAGGGTGCACTTTTTTCCATGAAAGTTAAGTACGAGTGGAAAACAATGTCGTAGCGGCCGTCGGAGTTTCTCAAAGAATCGATAATAGAAAAGCGCAACTGTCATTACGCACGATGACTAGACAGCTTGTACGATATTTTGCAACGGCGGTATTATTTTGCGGCGCACACTTTTATTTACCGCGCTCAAACCGTAAAGCTCGAACGCGAGAGAGAATGTCGATTCTCGTAGCGGCGCCATAAGGCGAACGTTGTTCGCTCTGCGATTCGTAAAATTTACAAAGGCAAACGTGTTGCCTTAACCGAGGATCCCGCAACACGCGGTCATTTGCAATTTACAATCTACAGAAATTGCATAAATCACCTTGCGATATTGGCTACGCCATCTGCTGCCCGCCGTTTTTCGTCCTATTTTCCGTGACAGCGAGTTTCATCGTCCGTATCGTATCACGGGGAGATGCAATAATGCAGTCGGTAGTTGAAGAGCTGACAAATTTCGTCATCGCTGCATCTCCGTCGGCGTGCCCATCGAGCGATACCCCTGCTAGGGTCCACGGCGCGCATCTCGAAGCAAAAAAAAAAAAGATTACGTTTCGAGTGTGCACGTGGGCTATTATGCGGCGAACGTCGGTTCTTAAAAGCTGAAATTTATCATTAACGAGCGTTTCGCACAGAGTTAATGCTTTTCACATTAAGCTCAAAGACAGCCGGCGTTTCGAACGTTAATAAATAAGGCGTTTAACTACCGTTTCATAATTTACATATGTTTATTACTAAGAGCGAGGATGATTTCATTTTAAATCATCATTCTCCACGAGATTCCGCCTCTCTCGGTGAAAATGTCTCATTTCCCTCGTTCAGTTTCAGTTAATTAACTTATTTTATATTACGGGACGGTTTTACAAAGTAACGGATTGTGCTACGTTGTAAAAACATGGCGTAAATTGCGTGTAAAATCTCGCTGCACTCTACGTGATATAATCATCTTTGAATGGAATTTTCTCCGCTTGACTGATTCGTTAGTTATCCCCATTATGCATAGGTAAAGCTCAATTACGCACGCCAATTAACTACACACACGGTAACGCTGGTCGAGAGAAGTACGAAGGTAGAGGCAGAGGTGTGTACGTCTGTTTCTACTTTCGCGCAACGAAAATAGCCGCGTGTCTACGGCGGGATCCAACTGCAAAAGGTCGGGTTGCAAGTCGGATCTGTTAACAGGTGATCTGTCACTATCACCGCACCGATGGTCTACTTTTCGTGCGAAGATGGTCCGCGTGCCATCCAAGGTTGGCTTGCGCAACGGACCGGTAATTTCCAGGCTGCGCGCGGCGCCTTCCCATTAATTTCTACATTTTTCACACGACCATCGCCTTGCTGTTGCACCAAATAAGCGCAAGCGAGACCGGCCGCGGATACATATATTCCGCGGGACCTTCGTGGCGCGCTGACGAAACGGAACTCGCGTGTCGTCGTGGATTCATCCATTATATATTCATGAAAAGTGACTCGTAATATATTACGTTATACATTTTCAATTTGCATCGCGCTTTTATTTTGCAGCTCTTTGTTTATTTCTTAATGCCCCAGAAAGAGGAGGATTTATCTTCGGCTTACGACGTCACGTTCCGTTATCAGAAAGTATTCCCGGCATTTTATGAAAAAGAAGCACAGATATTTTCTACACAAAATGTGCGTGTGCAGTTGCCAGATTTACTATTAATAATGAGAACATTTTTATTAATAATAATCACTAAAAATTGTATATCTTAATCGATACTAAATTTCGACAGAAATTTGATAGTCTTCTGTTCATTTGATGAATGCTAAATTTTAGTTAAATTTTAACAGATATTTGATTCTCTTCTCTATTCAGTTTTGGTTAAAAATTACTTTAAAAATGCCTTTTAACAGCGATAAAACGGCTCTTGCAATTTATCGTTTAATTGAAATAAAAATTCATAACGCATCGCAGCTAGGACGCGAGAGATTTTTCGTATCTGGTTCTCGTTATCAGGCTATTTATACAGGACAATTACAATATGTAATATGCAGTGCGCTCACGCTGCAGCAGTGCACACAAATTGCATCCCTAATTTGTTCGCGTTGTTAATTAGCCATTGACCTTTGTTATCTTGCCCGAAGCTAGCCGTTTTCCAGACCAAAGTTTAATTGGCTTTGCGTACAACTCCTTTCATTACAAACTGCAGCAGCGTCTGATTATTCGCGCGATACTACTAACCGGCTGGAATTGCCTGTACTCTGTTACCGCCGGTATCCACCGATCCCGACGCATACCTCGCGATTTACGTGCGTCTATTTCCATTGCACCTGATACCGCGCGCGCGCGCGCGCTATGATTAAGTGTCATTTTTCCTCATCTCTCTTTCTCCCCCGACGGCGCGTCGCTGAAACAATCCGACAAGAGCGATGTGAATAGCAGGATGAGGCATTTCGTACGACCCAGTTAGCTGTGTCAGACAATTTAAGACGCGTGAACGAACCGCAGCGAGTCTCTCGCAACTCGTTTATCTAATGTAACGTCACTGCCATGGGAATCCGCAAAATCATTTGCCCCGTCGAATGACTCGACTCGACTCGGCTCGGCTCGACTTGACTCAGCCGACTCGACCCGACTCCGGCCCGCGTCTCGCAGAAGACAAGAGACGGCCCGTTATGAAATACACGCAACTATAAATCGCGAAACGATGATCGCACGTAGCCCGCGTATATACGAATTTATGTAACCTCCCCCGACGCGAACAATTTGAAATGACTAATTATAGTAATGAGGGGAAAGGGAAAGGCAATATGTAGTAACGCGCGTGTATATGTTATACCCGTCTCGCGCGCGGGTTTCAGTAACCCGCGGGACCTATAGTGAATAGAGACAACAATAATTCTTGCAAAGGTGTTTCCTTTATTTCGCGCATAAAATATACATAATGGCATCCCACGTAGGAGTCTCAAACCATTGTTATAAAAATATAGGTATATGTATATATAATTATGTCATGCGCTGCTTGCTTAACTATATATGACAATGATACGCTCCTCGAAAGAAATCGGACTCTCACTGCTTCGTTATTTTTGGATCGCGTGGAAATTAATTAAGTACTACTTCATCGAAATGATAGCTGCGCTATTTCCATTTTTGCAAAGACACGATGTCCAAGATGTTCAATTGTTAAGTTACTGTAAAATTACATACAGTCGCAGTTTTACAATTTACTTATAAAATATTTGCTATTGCAATCCTACAAATATAAACTTGCAGTTAGACTAATATGTCGCGTAAAATGGTAAAAATGGTCCGGTACGTGTTCATAATCAAATTACATTTCGTTTGATAAGTATAATAATTGACTGAGTTAAAAGTGTTATTATATGACACTTCGTAAGGCAAAAGGTTGCCTTAAAATATAAAACCGTGCACCTCATTACGTTTTCACGTATTTAATTACATTTAATCGATATATTCTTATCTCTAATCGTAGAAAAATCTAAGTGCCGATCACATCCGCATGACGTCCGATTCATTCCTTTTGACAGTAAGATAAGTGGTATGTGGTTTATATATTTTTATTAAAGCTGAATAAATAAATATGTCGCATTTTAATACTTACAAGCTGCATATATTCCATCAACGTCTTCGGCTGGTTTTCGATACAGAGCAATCGATAATACATCGGTTGTAACAATAATAATTCTAATAATTATTACATTGGAATTAATATTATTGATAATAACGCCAATAATTATTTTTGTGTTTCTGTGTGGGGATAAAATTGGATTAGAGTATAATAACAACTTTATTTAATAACAATAAACAGTTGATACTTCTAATTCAATCAATCGTATTTGACGACGATGAATACATCCAGCATAGGTCTTAATATTATTCACTCATAATTTCGTTATAAGGTTTCCGTCCATTTTGATGCGATTTAACATCAAAAACATTTTTTGTAGTTCAATCTACGATTTACTAATTAATTCTAATATAATAATAGATGGCAAATAGGTCTGAGAAATGAATTATATTGCAATTGAACATCTTCAATAAAATCTTTAGTAAAATCATCTTATTAATTTCTTTATGCCGTTTTTTGCATATTTTATTAATTGTGCAGTAAAAATACTAAATAGCGAGAAATTAATAAAATTTATTTAATTTCAATTCATCAAAATTTAATACTCAAATTTTTATAATTTGGTAAAATAATAGTTTTACTAGTAAAATATAAAAATGCGTATTTTATTATATATTAATGTTGAATTGAAACATTTTTATACGTTTGTATATATTATGATATAAATATGTATATGTATTTTTATACAAATATTTTTCACTATAACAAAACTAATCGGAAACTAATACATAGGCAACGATATAAACTGCATCAATTGTATGCGTGGAAACCTCAGAAAGGATGAGTAAACGGTCAAGCAGAATAATCGAATTTCCTATATGTAAACGTGAATGCAATACGAATAATCGATATCACTTAGATTACGCAAGTATAGAGGCTCGTATTTACACGTGTTATTCGGCATTAACAACGGTGGGAGTCATCGTTAGATGCCGACTGACAGCTTAGCTTCATGTTTATTCAATCCGTGGCGGCAAGTACTCACGATCTGGCTTCGCAGGGCCTTGCGGTGGGAACGGCGAACCCGTCTGGGGTTTTCCAGGAATACCTCCTGGTCCAGAAGGTCCACTTGGAAATGATGGGCCGCTTGGTCTACCGCTAGGATATCCACTTGGGCCACTAGGTCCTTGTGGACGACCACCCGGTGTACCTGGGAAGCCGCTTGGGCCTTGTGGACCAGTAGGTCTTTGAGGTTGTCCTGGATACCCTGGAGATGGCCCACCCGGTCCTGGATAACCTGGACCACCAGGTCCTTGAGGTCTTGTCGATGGGCCAGTAGGTCCCGAAGGCCCTTGAGGTCTTCCAGGATATCCTGGCCCGCTTGGGCCTTGAGGTCCTTGCGGTCCCGGTGGTCCTGCCGGTGGACCTAAATATCCAGGTCCTGGTCGGCCAGATGGAGGTTGCGATCCCGGGCCGGATGGAACTCCCGGTCGTCCAGGAAAACCGCTTGGACCGCTTGGTCCTTGAGGACCGCTCGGATAACCACTTGGTCCTGATGGCCCTGACGGTCTTCCCGGATAACCGCTTGGTCCTGATGGACCGTGAGGCCCTGACGGTCCCTGAGGCCCTGCCGGACCCTGAGGTCCTGATGGACCCTGAGGTCCTGATGGACCTTGAGGCCCCCTTGGATAACCGCTTGGTCCTGATGGACCTTGAGGTCCTCCTGGATAACCGCTTGGTCCTGACGGTCCTTGAGGTCCTCCTGGATAACCACTTGGTCCCGACGGACCTTGAGGCTGTCCCGGATAACCTCCTGGCCCGCCAGGACGTTGTGGACCTCCTGGATAACTTGGACCACTTGGACCACCAGGACCGCCCGGTCCTCCTGGGTAACTTGGACCACCAGGAGCACCCGGTCCTCCTGGATAACTTGGACCACTCGGACCACCAGGAGCGCCCGGTCCTCCTGGATAACTTGGACCACTTGGGCCACCTGGACCTCCTGGACCTCCTGGATAAGTACTAGGTCCTGAAGGTCCTTGGCCTGGTGCTCCCATTATATTATGATCATAAATATTTTCATTTAAATAGTACAAACTTGGTGCAGAGTTGCAGTCGAATTGATTCCACCATACACAAACGAAAAATTGCTGATTGAAAATTGTTCCATTTGGACAAAGGAAGTCGTAGGTCTTATTGTTGGCACATATGTGAAAAACTTGGCACTGGGCTTCCACGTCGGCGTAATAACCAGGAAATTGTTGGGCGTCGCAGCGAAAACTGGTTTCCGGAATTTCACTGTATATTGGATAATCGCGACCAGGCTCGCCTGGAATAGCTGAATAATCACCTTCGTCATATGTTCCCTCATCTTCATGTGTGTATTCTCCAGGTCCTCCGTGACTGCCAGGACCTACCGGATGGCCAGTACCCGGGAATCCTCCTGGTCCTTGCGGGCCTGGTCCACCAGGAAATCCTCCTGGTCCCTGCGGGCCTGGTCCACCAGGGAA